AAGAGAAAACTCAACAACGCGACAGAACTGTCGGAGAATAAAAAATGGAAGGATCTCGTTAATGATACGGATCAATAATCGAGGATCCGCCGCCGCATGATCGCATGAACTGTCACTGACAGCAGTTCGAGAAACACTGGCTGTGGCGAACCAACCTACTGTCATTCTCTCTATCTCTCTCTCTCTCGCTCTCTTTCATTTTCCCTCTCTCTCCGCCTCTCTTTCTCTCTGTCTCTCGCTCACTCTCTTTCTCTTATTCCCTTTCTCTCTCTGCCCGCCTCTTCCCACCTGATCAGGGTGCAACCTCTCTCTTTCTGACTCGGGTACTGCACATTTTCACAGCATATTTCCAGACGACAGCGGCGGTGACAACGAAGACGATGTCTTCGTCGTCGTTGTCGTCGTTGTCGTCGTTGTTGTTGTCGTTGTCGTTGTCGTTGTCGTTGTCGTTGTCGTTGTCATCACCATCGTCGTCGTCGTCGTCGCCATCGTCGTCGTCGTCGTCATCGTCGTAGCCAAGATGGCAATTAAAGCCGCCTTTCATTTTGCGTATAGTAAGTGACAGCGCGCGCTATAGCTGAAATCGGCCGCGCAAACGGCGCGCGAAAGATCGGCGCTGGCCAAGATATCAGATTCGGCCGACGGTCAGTTATGTGGATGTCGACTCTTTGGCGTCGGCCGATCTTCCCGTACGACACCTTGGACTGTCCCATTTGGAATATCGAGATTCGGCCATTGAGACATTAATTTACGGCACGATGGAGGTCGTATTTCATGAATTTCCCCCGCCCTTCGGCTGTTCTGCCAGGGAACGGTCTCGCTTGAGACTAATTTTGGCAGAATGTAACGCGCGTTCAAATCGGCCACATCGGAATTCCTCAGTCAGACATACGCGTGACATTTTCACCGATTGATTGTCCGGAGCGGAGGGATAATATATCGATCACCGTGAAGCGAGACGAAAAGTAACGTGCATAATGCAGCAGGAAATCGGTGAACTTCGTGATTGCGCGAGTGCACTTTAATGTGAAGCACGACCGGCCGGGCATAATGTGACTGGTAGACACGTAATCGATCGGTTATTCTAATGTCGCAACGCTCGCGATATAATTGGGGAAATGTTCCAGCAAGTTGTCGATAGCGATCGTGCAATTACTTTGTATAAATCGGCCACGGGCCCCCACGATGTATATAATGGATGAATGATCCACGTGGCGCGATGTTTATGCGCATAAATAATCTCGTCCTCCGCTCCGAAACGCTCGCGAAACCCGGTGCGCGATTTCCCGCGACTAAAGATATAGAAAGTCGCGTCGGTCGATTTGTCAGGCTCGCGGAATTGTCGTTTGGCCTGAAAATCTTTTGTTAAAATGACTGTGAAGACTTGCGCTTCCCGCGTCATTGTCCTACATCATGACGAGGCGCGCTCTTATTTGCACGTGCGTGGTTAGGCTCGGCGAATGTCTCTTGATTTTTTGTAAAACTTGATATTCCAAGATGATTGAAAGATTGATTGGAAGATTGTTGAATCCTTCAAAATTTTAAAAACGACTGAGAAAGAGAAAGAGACAGAGAGAGAGAGAGAGAGAGAGAGAGAGAGAGAGAAAGAGAGAGAGAGAGAGAAGCATTATTTATTAGGTTCTAAATCTTCTTCCAGCGCTATAAAGAAAATATACAAAATACAAGCAATATTATTCATAGCGAAGTAATGATTATAGCAAAGTTATTTCATAGGAAAATGTACAATGTTTTATGCGTATTGTGGAAAGTGAGAATATAACTGTAATATTATATGATAAATTAAATAAAATAACTTGAAAAGGGACCCAGTTGCACCAACATTATTTTAGTTTTAAATATATATCTCTCTTTACTTATTTAAAATAAAAGGTCAAGATAGATACGTGTTTAAATCATACTTAGAGTAAAAATAATTAGTGTATATGATATGACAAGTTAAGCTTAGCTAATCAGTTGAGCATATCAATTTAGTCTTGCACTTTATCCAATAACAACGAATAAAAATTAGCCTTAAAATTATAGAGAATTCAGCGAGAGAGAAACAGAGTTGGCAGTCAATAAGAAAATTGTATGCAAAGAAAACTGGTTAGTAAAAACCCACCCACAGATATTACAGTGTGATGAAAAAAACAATCATCTTTTCAACAATAATCGATTTCGTCTGGATCAGGATTGTGAGATGAAACGTTGATTGTTGCTTTCTTCTTATCGTATTACAATAACATGCATGGATTCTTATTGGTTAATTTTCTTTGTATAACTGCACACATCTACAGAATATTTAATCATTCATTTAATAATAAAACCCAATAGCAATATCGGTAGAGGCTCAATCAAGTACCTTACTGTTTAGTAAAATTCCGCATTTTTAATTACTTGTGGCAATACTTTCCTCTTTAGATAGGTACGTTTTATTTTCGTGATAACAAACAATAAAGAATTGTTAAATTATCGCTCTCGACTTGTGGCGATGTATAAATTGACAAAGTTCCGAAGCGGCGAAGCCGCAAGGATCATAATGTAAGAATGAATGTATCATATAAGGAAGATAGCTCGACGTGCTCGACGAGCTTCCGTATAAGTTCATGGTTCTTGATTGCTAGTCTGCTTTGATTGATCGTATCACTATAATTATCTTATCTAAAAAGGTCGGCTTAATTAAGACCGAAATCAGACTTTCGCTGAAGAAAAAAGAATGGCCGGCGGCAAATTACTTCCAGAATACATTTCTGCTAGGTGTTACCGAAGATATCCTGCGAACGTGTGCGATGAATTCGTTGTCGTTTCAAGCGAATCACAGAGGATTAACCTATTTGAGTCTTTTTTTTTCTTCTTTTTTTTGTCTTCATCCTCCGCAATGCACAACTCGCGGTAATCGATTGCGCGTCTGCGGACAAACAAGCACGGTTACGCTTATTTGTCCGACTCATTTTTCAGGATCTGTCACTCGTGGTCCTTTTTTTACACTCCAGCGAAACGAACTTAAACGGCGTTGAATCACATGCGCCATGTAGCAAGCCTCCGTCTTGTTAACGTTAAATCATTCCGTGAATATATCTCACACGGTGACTCATACCCCGGGGGGAAGCAAACGAAAGTGAGAGGACCCCACTAATTCGCATAGTCGCTAATTGTCGCCAAGGCACGCGCCATCCTCGGATCCGCCGGCTCGTTTAACCCCTCAAATATCCGGAAAAGCTTCGTGGAATTAAATGCTTTTTTATTTATTAATTAAGCTATTGCATTCCTTCAACCCGCACAGCAAACACAAATGAAAATAAGATTAGAGAATTATATTTAATTCTCAACAGATAAAAGTGAAAATTAGATTAGAATGAAAAAAAATTAGATTTATAAATTAGAATTAAGTGAAAACTAGAAAGATTAAATATTTTGTATCCTACTTCCCAAAATCCTCTCAAGAATATGACAATGAAAAAAGAAATCTAGATGTACCAGAAAAGAAATATTTGAAAATTTATTTGTAAGATATAGAGTTTATTTCTGTAAAACAAAATTTATTTCTATGAAAAACGCAAATAAATTTTCAAGGATTTCTTTTCTCAGTGCATACTTATTAAAAAAAAAGAAAAGTGAATTCCACTCTGAGGAGAATCGCGTAGTAATTTTAAACCACCAACTGTGAAGAACTTGAAAGGCGAAAGCGGCTCTCCCGGGTCTTCCTCTTCGCGGATTCCTCCCGGGTCTCCTTTTCATCACCTTCTGTTTCCCTGCTTTTCTTTCTATTCTCGACGCTGTTGAAGCGGCGCAGATGTGAAAATTTTTAATATGAAAATACAACGGCGAGCACGCGCTCCTTTCTCTCAGCCAGCTATGTTCTAACGATCCGCGCGGTATCTGCATAATTAACGTTATAGAGAAATACAAATCGCTCGGACGGCGATCGCGCGCCGCAGTTTGAACCGCGAAACGGTCGTTAACCCTTTCCCTCGCGCCGCCACGGCGGTAATAAGCGTGCACGCGCGCGCGCCGGACTATTGAGTTTCGAAAATTACTTCTGCGGGAAGTTATTTGTTATACGTTATTCCCACGTTCTTTTCCGCGTGTCAACGCGGATTACCCAATGCGCTCGTGACTTAAAACCCCCCGATTTTAAGTATTCAACGATTACACTACACAACGGATTGAGAGTCGACGCCTGGTCGAGATATCTCTCTCTCTCTCTCTCTCTCTCTCTCTCTCTCTCTCTCTCTCTCTCTCTCTCTCTCTCTCT